TGAACCTCCCCCGCTGCGAAGGAACACCAACCGGATTGAAATTCCTAACTTTTTTGATCTTGGGGACCCTAATAGCTGGGAAAACTTCATTGATCGCGTGTTAAGAAGCAGCCTGGTTGTTGACATGCAAGGAACTGTCGCACTCGAGCTTCCACCCGAGGCCCCGAGAAATCATCCTGTAGTAGTTGTTCCTGAGGCCCTTCCCTACGAGCCGGAACCTCAATCCCCGCGTAGTGATGCAGAGTCTTCTTCGATACAGTCTGGTCGGTCAGCTGAGTATTATGACCGCGGAGCGCGGCGAGATTTCGAGCTGTATATGGCAACGAGATCAGACTCCAGCTCGTCATCTGGAACTCCTCCGCACTGGGTTCAAGGGGTTGGGATAGTTCCTGCTGCTGAGTATAGGGCTAGGTATGACCCTACTTACCCCCACCGTGACCAGATCAATAGGCATGGAATCGATGTAGTCCCTGGACCCGAACAGCTGTACCGCCAGTATGAAGAGATGCGTGAGGCAGGTCTCTATCCTGACTTGCCAACTCTAACACCCTGGGCTGCAGGTACCAATGAGGCTGCTAGCTCCTCTGATGCTGTGGTGAGGTATGTTGATGACGTTGCGGTCTTAAGATCAACAAGATTTCCTCCGCTTGCGACTGACAGTGAGATTGAAGAGGCTGATGAAGAAATAAATCATGCTATCGCTTCAGCTGCAGCGTTTCTGATTAGGAATGGCATTGAAGTGCCACTTGAACAGTTGTCAGATGCTCAACAACATATCTTTTACACGAACGAGGGCTTTCGCCTCGAGCGCATGCACCAGGATGGAGTCCCTGAGGTGGATTGAAGTAAGGTGCTCTAGGCGTGGTTTTTAGGGGTCGTTTTGTCATACGTCCTTAAAGGTGTGGCTTGTGGGTCTTAGTTTGTTAGGCGTGCCAGTCTCGCGGATATCTGCTTGAGACATGCTAATCCTTTCTGACCCTTGGAGTACAGTATCGGCTCATCTTTGGATTTTTGACGATTTTCTTAGCTTCCGGTTGTAAGTCCGGTTTGGGTCAGGTTCTCAGGTTGTGTAGCTTGCAGATTGGTGAAGAGCCGTGCTTCTGCAAAACCGTGCAGGGGATTACATGTCCCATCTTTTGCAAGCACTGTGAAGCCTTGCGCCGTTTGTTGTGCAACCACAGTCCTTTTCCTCAGAAACTGAGGAGCGTCTTGAGCCTTACTTGGGCTACACTCCTTTGCACTCCTCCACTTGGACTTCTCTCCACCCTTTTCCGAGGGCCCTTTGGACTTCAGCTGCTTAAGTGTGGTTGGGTTGTTGGGGTTTGGTGGTGTTTTGGCGAACGCCAAAAGGGGGAGCGCAGATGTGTATGTCCCTGCCCCTGCTGCAAGGATGACACGCTTGACTCCGCAGGTGCATGGCCCCTGCAGCAAGGAAGACAGTCAGGCACGTACAGAAGACGTTTTTTAAATCGAGAAGTGTACCAAGTTAGATCTTATTCGCTTTCGCTTCTGCTGCTAAAACAGTTGGCTGGCCCTCGTACTCGAGTAGGGTTTAGGGTTTAGGGGTTTAGGGTTTAGGGTTTAGGGGTTTAGGGTTTAGGGGTTTAGGGTTTAAGTTTGGGGGCGGGGTTCAGGGATTTTAGGATCGGGTTCAGGTTGCCGTTTGCTATCGGATCGCTTCACACTTCGACCGCAGATGCTAAAGCATTAGCATGTTCTCGGCTCTGGCAGCTCGAACTGGCCAGAACCTACTTATATGGGGTCAGGGTGCATCTTAAGAATTGCGACCCTCCGAAACGTCGAAGCTAGTTGCAGCAGCTTGCTGTGAACAAAGATTCATTGGTACTTCGGGTCAAGGTTCTGAGTTCAATTCCGAGCAGCATCATCAGCAAATGTGCCACGATCTTCATGACCATGAAAGCATGCGTAGAGAGGAAGCGGTTTGCCTGAAGGGGTAGCTCTCCGGTTTATATAGGTTTTTTTTTTGAAAGCTTCTTTTCGTTACTGCAGATCAGCTCCGAAAGCCCGGTCGAGCCAGCAGCTTTAGGGTTTAAGGTTTAGGGCTGAAGCATAGACATTGGAGTCCTTCTGGGGATATCGAATTGGAGAGCGATGTCATGTTTTGCTAGACCCAAGAGTAACCCGGGAATAAAAAGGGTGCCCTTTTTGGTTTAAAGGGGCTCAAAAAAGGGAACCTGAACCCTACAAAAAGGGAATAAGGGCCTACTCCAGGTCCTAGTTTGGGTACCCCAAACAGAGAGTCTAGCTTCGGGAACCACCCACGTGTGTGGATTTGGGTTGTCGCGGCTGCCACCTCGAGTTGAAGGGAGAGCCCCACCAAAGTCTCCGCATCCTGCGTCAGAAACCCCTATGAGCCCTACCTATAGTCTCCATTGTAGCTCTTTTTTGGGGATACCTTATGGGATCCTTAATATATAATTGGTCAAACCAAAAAAAGGAACTACAATGGAGACTATAGGTAAACCCTGAACTCTATGAGTAAATAAGGACGCTGCGGCGGCAAACGGCAAATGCAGGATATCCTGCTCTGGTCTGGGGTCAGGGCCAAGACAGAGTTCGTTTGCGGTTCAATCTGGGGATGAATTACGTAAAACATGTCTATTATGATGCTACAGGAAATGGGTCATTGGGCTCCTTGTGTACAACCTCAGCTCTAAAGGCCTTGCCGGGTCACCCTAAATTCAGAACAGTTGTATTAGCGCTTTGAATGCAGCAAAGTACCTTGTGGTCTCGAAAAAAATCTAGTATCACAAAAAACATATTCTAGTTGTAACTGATACGTGATAGTCCCTCTATATATGTGTATACACCCGTATCTACATCTACATTTATAACTACACATGCACATATGCATACACATATTAATATGCATATCTGTACGTACATACATACATACATACATACATATTCGACATATTTGACATATCTATATATATATATATATATATATATATATATCTGTATATACACATATATGTATATATGTAGACACACACAAACCCGACACGCTATTCTAATTATATCGGATCTGAGGAAGCCGGAGGGATAGGATAGCTGGTCTTGCTGCCTGGAACCTTCTGGAAGGCCGAAGCTTTCAAAGGGCTTTGTTTAACGGCTTTTTCAGAGGGACCCTTGGGGGGGGTAGGGGGGGGGGGGCCTTAATAATACCTATAATAAAGACTTAATGAGGCCTTTTTACGGAAGTAACAGTCCTCTACCCCGATCCTCCCGCATACCCTCTTAAGGGTCCCTATGACTTCTGTAAGGGTACTACACGGATATTTGTGGTTTCATGAGGGTATTGAAGAGTAGTATGCGGTTTATCACGGTATCACGGTCCTATATGGGATCTGCAATGGGTGGTAATTACATGGGAGGCTTTGTGGGGATTGTTCAAGACAACTTCGAGCTTTTGCAGCCAAGCTGCCAGTAGTGACACCCCTAAACCCTAACCGAACCCCTAAACCCCAAACCCTAAACCCCAAACCCTAAACCCCAACCCCTGAACCCCAAACCCTGCAGGCAGGCTGCCAGTAGTGACAGCTCACGCTGCAACTTGGCCACCCGCAGCAGGCGAATCCTTGGAGTACAGGCACCCAGGCTCCAGGACTTTGGCAGGTTGGAGGGGGTTCATAAGGGTTTTTACATCACGTATACTGAGAATTTGTTATGTGTGTGTGTGTGTTTATGTTGGATGTATATACATGTATATATTATTTCTTTTTTTACATGCACAAAACATGAAACCCTGTTAACAAAACATGACAGTACACGAGTTTCAGTGTAAATGTTGACACACCAACGTCGTTGAGTGCCTGAAATATGGAGACCCTTTGGCATTGCCGTACTGTCGTTCTTTACAAGGCCTGACCCATCAGGGGTCTATAACCCTAAACTCATATTGGAACCCCTCAATTTCTGATCCCCTAAACACCCACCTCCTAAACCCCGAAACTCCTAAACTTCATACTTGACAGAGAACATCGGCAGGTCAAGCCACATCTCAGATAACCCCCCCCCCCCCCCCCGACCTGAACAATGGGCTACTGGTTACACATTGAACAAATGGTTCGTAAGTTACTATACGTATTTATTTGAGTATCTAGAGCCCCAGGGTTACCATTAACATCTCGTAATTTTGCAGGGCAAGAAGCATCCGCAACAAGCGAAGGGTGCGCAAATATCGAGCTGAACGGAACACAGCACCACCCACCTGCTGCAGGGAAGATTGCTGCGGCATCAGAGGTCAAGGCTTGTAATGGGGTTGTTGCATGATAACGGGTTGGAACTAAACTAAGGCATGCAGGCTTCAAAAATTGGGGAAGGGCTTTCAGGTTGGGTTGCAGGCCGTTGGTGACCACGGTCTCAAGAGGAGCGGAAAAATGCTATGCAAGCACTACTCTAATCATAAAATACCCGCATGATCCCAATGTCTCAATGTTTGGTCTACTCGTTGTGGCGATCCATTGTATCGAGACACGTTAACTCCTGTAACCTTAAACCCAGCTTAGGGTCCAGGGGTTAGAACCTATGCAACTTATAACGGTCGGGTTTGACCGCAGGGTTCATTCGCGACATTGGGATTGGGACACCGGGGGTAGAGCGTGCGCAGGAGTCCTCCAGCGATGCACCTGGAGGGTCTCAGCACGGAAAAAATGAGTATTCATGTAACTTCATGTAACTGTATTAATTTCCGAACAACATAGCATGCTGAGGCCTCGATTCGGAGAATGGGATAATTATGGAGTTCATGTGTGGCACAAGACAAGCTCCAAATCCAGGTTTCGAGACTCTTGGCAAGGCAGCCCATGGACGTTCAGAGCTTTGATTCTTCAGAAGCAATGACCTGAAGCCAAAACGCTTAGACCGAAACCCAGAATCTTAACAATATATACACCCTCAGCGGTAAACTGGCATACCACTGGTTTGGAATATTGAACGATTTCTTTGTAGAGCCCTTACAATAGTCCCTGTAAAACCTACAAGACTGCCTCGGGGAGGTCGATAGTTTCCAGCGTGATAATCACCGCGTCGATAGCCTGAGCGCGAACAAATTCCAAATGGGTTCAGGGCCGGGGTTTAGGGTTCCGGGCGACGGATTCAAATTTAAGGCTCTAACAACTGATGGTGGACAGGGTTTAGGCTCAGAGAGCTCAAGGTTAAGTATAGTTCGGATGTAAGGTGTGGGGCTAAGGGGTTGCGGCAGAGGGTTTGCTGAGGCCGTTCGGGTTCGGTTTTCGGGTTCATGGCTCTAGGCTTGAACTGGGAGGTCCAGTGGGCGAGGAGCCGTGAATCTAGGAAGAAATCATGTCCTGAACTATTATCGTCTTGTGGTTGGCCCTATTTTTCTCTGATATGAGACCTTATTTAATGAGCACTCGCAGAATGCCCTTACAGCCGATACAAGCAAGCATGAACCTACAAACCGCAACCCTGCGAAGAAGGGAGTCTCGACGAGTCCAAAGCTTGATAAGTGGCCTTGATTTTAGGGCTTCGGGCTTAAAGTTTCAAGGTTTAGGATTTCCGGGATGCACCTTAGGGTTTAGGGTTTAGGGGTTTAGGGTTTAGGGTTTAGGGCAACTTGACGAAGCACTTCTTTTGGAAACTAAGCGCGCTGGTCTTGAAAGTAGAAGCGCAGGACACGGAACTTAACCACATTTGGACAGGACATGTGGCTTTTGACTTGCTGTGTGGCTAGCCTGCTTCTCTCTTTGCTGCGGCCTCATCAAGAGCCAACCGTGGAAGATTGATACTGTGGGTTCTTACTAGACCGCACCGCTCAGTAACAGCCTAGCCGATTAAACACGGAAACTTGCGCAAAGCTCATGCCTGCGGCACCTTATCCACTCTCATCTCTGCTGAGGAACATCTACGGTACTCCCAATCCCTAAGGCTCCATGTACCCATATAGTATATACTTAGGCCTTAAAGTACCTCTATAGGGACCCCTTCAAGGCTTAAGTATGTACTAGAAGGGTACATGGAGCCTTTGGGAATGCAAGCCAGGATGCAACGATGAACACATCCGCTAGCAGCCAGGAGCCTGATAAGGTCAGGCCAAATGGACAAATGGTCCAAGTATACCATTATCGTAGGTACTTAGTAGGTAGTTGGGGCCCAAAAGTATATCCTATAAGATTACTTGGCTGGGTAGGTATTTGGGGCCCAAAAGTATATCCTTTAGTATTACTTGGACCCTTTGGGTTTATCCCGGTTTGTCACTATGATCGGCAACCACACACGCACACAACAGCTGCTGTCTGACCGCGTAGCGTTTGGAGTTTGGAGACTCTAAGATGCAGAAGCTGATATAGGGGCCTTAACAAATAGAATAGGGCTCCTTTAAAGGGGTCCTCTAAGGGTTCCATAAGGGCTGCTGTAAGGATTTAGTAAAGGGGCCTTAATAATTAGAAAAGGGTTTGGGGGGGCCCAATATACTATAACCATTCTCAGGAACCCTTCAATAGTGCAGGTAGTTAACAAGGCCCCTATACTAGCCTTAACGTCTTCATGCTTCTCCGTCGCCGACACGCGTACGCAAACAAACCGGGTAGACGGCGCTTCTGAATACCATAAGTTGAGACATGCGCCACTTGCCCCACGTGCACACCCTGATGCTGGGCCTCTGTGGTGAGTGGGGCCAGTGTATGCAGCAGTTGCAGCATCGAACAATAACCAACAACAGTATGCTGCATAGAAAATTTCCTTGGGCTGCCTGTCGCATTTCGATACCGCAAAAACCATGACCGATTGCAATGCAACCAGATGTGCACAATTCCCATAACTGTGCTCCGGGCTATCCACTAGCCACGCTGGCAACAGAAGCAACCAGGTGGCATGACCACGCAGTAACGAGAGTCATAACCTAACCTCCCAATAGACCTTCAACCTTACATACTCACGCATCGCAGCCTGGAGGGTCAATTTTTTCTCGAAGCGAAATGGAGGGCTCTAAAACCCTCAACTCCAAAATCCCAACTTGCTGCAGTCAGCCGGCGCATGTAAAGCCTAGCCAGCACAGAGGGCCGAAGTTCGATCGCACCATCCAGTTGGACTCCTGTTTAGGGTTTAGGGTTGGTGTCGAATTCCGACATTCTTTAAGCATAATATAGGGGCCTTAATAATTAGAATAGGGTTTTGGGGTCCATTATACTCTACCTACAAAAAGGACCCCCCAAAATAGTATAGGCAAATAATTTAGGCCCCTATAGTACAAGTGCTGTATGTGTCAGATCTTCAGATCGTTAGGGTTTCGGTGCTTTGGGGGGTAAAGACAGGAGGGCATGGAGGGTCAGGGCTTCATGGCTTATGGAATTTAGCCTATATCTATACTGAACTTAGAACCCTAGCAAAAATTGTAATTTTAGCTGTTTCTTAGGGATTATAAATAACCAAAAATTAAAAATTATTTCTAAGTACCCCTAAGATATAGTGCTTACAGGTCTATTTGGGACTTCCGAGTTGGCGCTTTTTCTGATCGAGTGCTCTGGGTTTGTCTTGGGCTTCAGGGTTCATGTGAGGTCGAATAACCAGAGTCAGAGTTGGGGTTTCTCATGTGCTTCTTTTGCAGGGGGTGGGTTTTTAGCCTATAGTTCTACGAGGGCTCATGTCAGATCTGACGAGGCTCGTCAGTACATGAATCTGATCGTAAGTCGCTGGTTCGAAGCGCAAGCCGCGACATCGACAAACTCTAAGGACTAGCATTCGGGAGTTTCCGAAAATAGGCTACCCTGATATAGTACCCCAAATAATCAGATGCATCTATTAGAAGGACCCCAAAACAAGGTACCCGTCGTTTTCGGAAACACCCCATCTAAATTGGGTACCAGTGTTTTGAAGCAAACTGCATGTGCTTTTGGGATACCTCGCCCCTACTTGGAGGATCATGGGCCTGAGCAATTGGGCTTATAAGTAAAGTGCTATAATTAGTTATACCCCCAATGAGGTACTTATAACCCCAGGTACTAAGTCCACTGATCCTTAAACCCTAAACCCTTATGGTACCCATTATAGATCCTTTTTAAGTAACCCTTTAAGGAACCCTGCTAACTAAGTCCCATGATCCTCTAAGTAACCCTTTCCGCTCCGAAGATGAAATGCAAGGGGATGTCGAGGACCCAGAAGGAGAAAGTAACCTGGCAGTGTGGGTTTAGGTTTTTAGGGTTTTTAGGGTTTAGGGGATTTGGGTTAAGGGTTGTTAGGGCTTTTAGGGTTTAGGGTTTAGGGGATTAGGGTTTACGGTTTAGGGATTTGGGTTTAGGGTTTTGGGTTTTTGATGCTCCGAGTTTAAGGTGTTACCTGCAGGAACTTTCAGCACTAGGATCTTGGGTCATGGGCTGATTCTTCAGGGAATGCCAATGACAGTTTGAAGTTTCGGGCCGGATAGATTCTCATGATCGAGGCTTGATCTCGCAAAAATGACGGCTACTACCTTAGAAGGGGCCCCCACCCTGTAATAGTGGTATAATAGGAATATAATAGGGCCCTAATATAATCCTTATAGTCACTATTACAGGGCGGGGCCCCTTCTAACTACTACCACAATTTGTTCACCTTGCGGGATCAAGGCAGACACAGAAACAAGATTGAACCTTAAACTTTACATTCCGAATCCTTAGCCCTGTACTTGATTTCGTCGCGTGATTCTCGAAAGCGAGGCTTGACGAGATAACTAACCTAACCATCGCACATGATAAACACGGGCCGAAGGATTCTTGCTGTGTAAGGGTCTGGTGCGTAAGATTTCACAAAATCGGCTGCAATTTTGGTGGACACAAACTGCAGGGTCTGGGTTTAGGGCCTATGATGTCGATTCTCCACGTTCTTGGGGAAGCTCGTTGGGTGTACAATGTCGATTCCTGGGGCGCGGAAACAGAGTTTCAACAGCTGCTTGCTCTTGTGTACTGGCAACCCTGAACAGCAAAGCCGAAGTTGCACAAACCCGGACGGAGTTAAACTGTGGGACCCACAACGACGACCGTCGGTCGGCCGCGCTTTCGAGACGTGACACTGTAAATTGGGGGTATGTGAACGATTTGGGGGTACTGAGCTGGGGTCATCGAAATCTATGCGAGGCGACCCAGGATTGACACAAGAAGATTTAGAATCAGACGTGCGCTGATCAAACCCGTCTAGCCCTGTGTACTCGAACAACCGGCCCTGCATCCCCTTCAAGAAGACGGGGTGCATATCCGACCACATCCAGGACGTTGATAAGCTCCTGCGGCCAAGTACTATACGGGCATACACTAGTTAGTCATTAGTTCAGTTTGCGAAGCCACGGAACACCCTGCAACCATGTTTGTTTTTCATTGGCCGCTGATCAGGTCTTGCGGTGTCTGGAAATTCCTTTGCAATGTCATCGCTAATTCTCCCACGAAAAAGAAAGCAAAAGTGTGCACATACTGCTGGTACCTTTTAGCTCAATGCCGTTATCAACCCTAAACCCCGAGCCTAAACAGTAGTCCGAAACTTTCAGACACACACCTCTGTCCGAAGAAGCTGCTGGGAAAGCAGCCCCGAGGAAAGCCAGTGTTCCAAATGTCCGCCTTTGTAAAGTGGGTTTAAGCCACCCCCTAGTTCATGCAAAATCCCGACACTGTGTGTGCCAGCATCGTTGATTGATGTTTCCTTCATCACCGCTGAAGACTATGCCGGACCGCTCCGAATACAGTCAGCAACCGTCGAGCTTGTCGACCAGATTTGGCAACAGCATGCGAGGTTCATGGAGACGGTTTCAACACTCAAGGAGTCGTAGCCGCTGCTTCACATCACACTTTCATATTGGATGAATAAATGACTATATACGTAATACGAAAACATATATATATATATATATGTATATTACACATGTAGGTATTTGTAGTTCATGCAGGAGCCCTTCAAGGTTACTAAGTCCCATGATCCTCCAAGTAGACCCTAAACCCTAAACCCTTATAGTACCCCGGTACCCCTGTAGATCCCTTGTAAGGAACCCGAAAAGGTCCCTTACAGTAACAGACCCTTAGCCCCTACCTACTAAGTCCCATGATCCTTTAAAGCTACTGGACAATTACCAATACTATTTTGGGGCTCCTTACCATAACTATGGCGTGATAGACCCCAAAACCCTATTCTAGTTGTTACGGCCCCTATCGTAGTATAAGTCCTATGACCCTTCCAGTAAGCTCGGCTTCGAGACTCGTCCCTGTGGGATTCTGAAGGCCCCAGCCCGGCTTCCAGTTTCGTAGAATCTGGAATTCAGGGTTTAGGGTTTAGGAAATTAGGGTTTAGGGTTCAGGAGTTTAGGGTTTAGGGGTGTAGGGTTTATAAGAGTTTAGGGTTTAGGAATTTAGGGGTTTGGGAGTTTAGGAGTTAGGGGTTTAGGCTTAGGGTTTAGAGTTCAGGGCTTAGGCGTTGAGGGTTCAGGGTCTATTGTTACGGGTTTTTTTGACTAATAAAACACCCTCACATCTCCTTCTTCCACAACCTCCCCATGTATCCTAAAGCTGTTCCCTAAAGCCCTGAACCCTAAACCCTAAAGCCCTAAAGCCTAAAGGCGACCCTAAAAACCTGAAACCTAAAACCAGCTCCTGCACATTAAACATCTCCAAAGGGATCGTGATCAAGTCCCAGAGGATGAAGGCGCTAGCCATGAAAGCCCTTTGCAGGCACAGAATATTTTGTTTAGTTTAGGGTTTAGGGTTTAGGGTTTAGGGTTTAGGATTTAGGGTTTAGGGATTTAGGCCCTACAACCCAAGGTTTAGGATAAGGGGAGCCAAGGCGAAGGTCTAGGGTTGAGGGCGGTCGGGTGTGGAGTGCAGGTTTGAGGCTTTTAGGGTTTACTTGGAGGGTCATGGGACTTAGTGAGTAGGGCTTTAAGTACCTTAACTGTTCTTATAAGTAGTTCTAAGTGTAGTTACCTTGCTTATAGCCCCAATTACTAAGCCCCATGATCCTTTAAGTAGACCCTAAGCCCTAAACCCTTATAGTACCCCTATAGATCCCTTAAGGGGACCCCTTAAGGACCCCAGCTACTAAGCCCCATGATCCTGCCGTCGTAGGGTCTTCGAATTCAGGCTGGACGAGACTTGTTTGGGTTTACGTAAGGGACCCATGATCTGGGTGCCTGGATTGGGTTTAGGGTTTAGGGTTTAGGGTTTAGGGTTTAGGGTTTAGGGTGTAGGGTTTAGGGTTTAGGGTTTAGGGTTTAGGGTTTAGGGTTTAGGGTGTAGGGTTTAGGGTTTAGGGTTTAGGGTTTAGGGTTTAGGGTTTAGGGTTTAGGGTGTAGGGTTTAGGGTTTAGGGTTTAGGGTTTAGGGTTTAGGGTGTAGGGTTTAGGGTTTAGGGTTTAGGGTAGTGTGGCCTAGTATTTGGGTGGGTTGGAAGGGGTGAGATGCGGGGGAGTTTTATGACAATTTTTACTATATTCATCCTTAGGGAGGGACCTCGATACTGCGCAATCAGGGAGTATGCCGAAACTTGCTGAAGTCACCCCCTGAGATTTCAAGCAAGAGTCCTCAATCTATGGGGTTTGAGCTTTCCAGGTTAAGCCTTCAGCCTCACCCTGGGCGTACATGCTAGGCTTCTACGGCAGATTACACATACCTCTGGATGAGCTGAATCTCACAAAAAAAAGATTTGGGGAAAGTTTGTAGAGCTTGGAAATGCACTAATTTGAACCTGGAGATCGGATACACTGCTTTCATGTCATGAATTCGACTACCCGCTGTGGCGGCAGTTGTAGCAGTCGTGGCCGTGGCGGTAGCTGCTGCAGAGATAGCCATAATGGTGCGAGTCGTTGGGGTAAGACAAGCAGTCGACATAGCAGGTAGTGGTCCACTGGTACACGTAAGTGGTAGTGACAGTGGTGATAATGAGTAGCTGTCGTCGTCGTCGTGTCCTTCGTCCGTCTTGTCGTTGTCAACGTGGAAATCGCGCAGTAGCGGTAGCAACAGCAGCAATGGTGGTAGGCAAGCTACCCACATCACCTCGTGAAACCCTACTTTAGTGACTTCAGTGCCACTACTATCATCTTCCATGCCATCAGTACATCATCTTCTTCATTGCCCAATGTCACCATCTTCCTCCAACTACCCATACTGGAGAAGCTATATAACCCTAAACCTTGCGAAGCCCTAAACGCTAGAGCCGGTGAAGGCCAAATCCTACACCCTGAGCCCGAAATCCCCGGCGCTGTAGTCTCAAGCCCTCCCTGCCAGACCAGAGCCCGGACTTCGAAAGCTGCGTAGATGCAAAAACTATGATCGTTTGGACTTCGAAACCGCAAAACACTGGAGCTTGGGGTTGAGTACAGGCTTGAAGCCTCTTCAGACACGGAACAGAGTGCTTCAATGATCAATCAAGGGCGAACAAGGGCTTAGGGTTCAGGCTTCCTCATTTTGGTGATCTAGGGGTTTAGGGATCGGAAATTCAGCCTTTGGAGAGAACTGCCCCGCTTCAGTCGAAGGCAAGCCACCAAAATAATTGCCACTTGCTCTGCGGGCCGACTACGAGAAACTGCAGCGGGGAAGATTCCTCGAGCTCGCACAGGATTCAGGGTTTATGATGTAGGGTTTCCTAAACCCTAAACCCTAAACCCTAAACGGTTTGCTAGGGTTTCGAGCTCCACGACTCGAATAAAGACAATCTGATCACAGATCTGTCATCCTGGCTGCAGACAGGGTCAGATATAGGACTGGGCATACGAATACTTAGAGTGGTACGCAAGTCTACACCAGAAATGCATCTTCCGACATTCCTGCCCACAGTTCCGCGACGATATGTTGTCAGGGCTCATGCCGGCATGAAGCTTCGATTTTCAGTGCGACATTGCGTCTATTCCTCGACGCGCTACTTACAAGGATGTCCGGCATCCCACACGCTGATTATCCCATTACAGACCATTCCGACCATTCACATGCCTCAATTTCCAGCATTTCGAAACAACAGCGGTTCTCTGTGCGCCTTCCGAAATGCCAGAAACCCTGACATCACCTGCCACCCCGCTGTTGCAGGGTGCTGACTGCGGGACCCGAGACGTCAAACTTCTGGACTGATTGACCCAATAACCCGCGGAAACATCACTTAAAGGATCATGGGACCTAGTAATTGGGGCTAGAAGTAAGGTAACTATAGTTATGACTACTTATAACCCCAATTAAGGTACTTATAACCCTACTTACTAAGTGCCATGATCCTCCAAGCAGGCTCATCTTTCAGACTATCAGCTCATCCCGCGGGCTCAGGTTCTCTAAACACACAATAAGCTATGTACTATCTTGGTGACTGGAGCCAACCGGAGTTCTAAAAGTCCCGGCAATGAAAGGGTCGGGTATCCCTATAACGGACCATGTGCCAACTTAGTATACACTTTGGCCACAAGTGGGGTCCTGAAAGGGTACCTCTGAGTCCAAAGTATACAGTACTCTATACTGTGTTAGTGTGTGGACCCATAGAGTATTGGAGCATTAAATGAAGCCCAGCTGCAGTGAACCTTGCCTCTCTTACCCGCAGTGTCGCAGTCCGCGCCAGAGTGTTGCCTGCCGCCAAGCTATACAAAAACTGCCCTAAACCTTCACCCACTGTAGCTGTAGAAATATCGAGCTTGCAAGGGCTTTTGCTTCGCCCTGGACCTTGTGGGTTTGGGTCTTACAGTTTATTGACTGTCCAAACCCCAACTACAAAGAGAGGCTCTGTGGGTTGCTCCCGGAAGCTCTTCGCGCTGAAATCTGAAACTCGGAACCTTTGCCCCTGGAGCTCGTTGTTTGGAGGCCTCGATTGGTTGGACGAAGGATAAAAAGAGAGACTCCTGTTTGGCTATTTCCCCACCTACCTCCCACCTCCTGCCACACTTGGAGCCCTTGGGGTGTTTTACTTGAAGGCTCATGGGACTTAGTAAGTAAGGTTATAAGTAGGTTCTAGTTAGGATAACCGCACTTGGGGGACTTATAACCCGACTTATAACCTATTTACTAAGTCCCATGATCCTTTAAGTACAGGAGCTCGGAACTCCGCCTAGTTGTCCTTTCGGGTTCTGTCGCTCCATACTCGCGTCCAAGGACTTGCCCCAGACCTCGGAAGTCGCGAAGCAGGCAATTCCCTTGTGAGGTGCCGGCTGAATGGGAATGGCACGCAAAAACAGATATACCAAAGGGTAGATCTCAAATAGGAATACCACGAGAGGCGTCGGAAGTTGTGCCGATTGGTTCGGCAGTTCAGTTGCGAGGGGAAAGGCAAGTGACGGCCTTCGTTCTTGGCTCAGGTGGCTGTTTTTCGCGGCGTCCCAAACCCTACCTGCGTATACTATGGGAACTGCGAACCCAGGCTACACGTCGGGCAAGTGGCAGCGCGCATATGAATCGCACACCTGGGCGAACGGTCTTGCAGACTGCAGCCGAACAAGAGTAGCCACAAACATTGAGCTCTCTATCCTCAAAGGGGAACAGGAGGGACCCTTAATAAGGACCCCTATTCATATACCCTTAATATAGCTATGGGGTTTGGGGTTTGGATTCAAGATGCATAACTCTAAATCCTAAGCCGTCATACCCACTTTCCAGAAGCAACGAGTTCTGCCAACAAGCGCACCTGAGGAGGGCAGAACGCAAAAAGATGGATCCAAAATCTGCCATCTTGCTGCCTCCAAAGACTCTATTGTGTAGGGGTCTTAACAATTAGACAATATGAGAAACATGTGGTCTCCTGACTAGTACCCCCCCCCCCCCCCCGAACATCCCGAATCCGCATTAGGGGTGGGGGGGTCCGCCTCCCTGATCATCTTTAGTTGTTGGTAGTAGTACAGCAGTAGTATACAGTAGCACAGTAGTAGTACTGTGTCTCCTCTATCTTGCCGCATGCATGTATCTGTCTCTCCTTTCCAGGGCGTCACTTTGTAGTAGAAGTGTGTATCTCCCTAAACCTTTTAAAAACAACACGACGGGATTTACGACTATTGAGGGGGAGTTCATTATTACGTGCAGGCCGAGTTTAGCTCTATTGAGGGGGCTGCTCCACTATTGAGTTCCGGGCCGAGTTTAGCTCTATTGAGGGGGCCTCTACCAATCACGAGCTCACATTAGGGTTTGGGGGGGGGTTCCTTATCGTAATAATGGTATATTATACCCCATTATGAAGGCCCCTACATTACTTGAATGACGCGAGTCCTTACGGCCTCAGAGTTGCTACAAGGGCCCTGCAAGCCTCCTTCACACATACGCGCGACCACCCAAGCGTCAGCAAGGCTTCGAGTTTTCGGGCATGGGGTTGACTGATAGGGCCGTGAAAGATGTTACTTTACGTTGTTCGAAGCATTAGAATTCAGCCCTGTTTTATGGACCAGGGCTTACTGCAGTTATAGATTGTCAAGATTAATTAGTTCCAAAGGGTTAGGGACTTGGCAAGCAGGTGCTCTCTTGAGAACGAACCAAGATCCGAACGCCTCTGCCCCAGCCCAAGTGCCTCAGCCTATAGGAAAACCTAAACCCTAAATTCTACACCCTATGAACCACACCCATACAGCTTCGAAGCGCCCGAAAACCCAAACCCTCCAAAAGCTAGCCGTAAATCCTCGAACCCCTAAACCGTCAGCCCCTAAACTCCAGACCCAAGCCCCTGAAATCGAACCCCCCCAAAGCCCCATAAGCCCTAAAGCCGCTACGAACGGATTTAGGATTCTAAGGGTTCAGGGTTTGATGGTTGCAGGGTTTTGGGTGTTTAGGGTTAAGGCTTTGGGGGCTTTGGGGCCTTGGGGCTTTGGGGCCTTGGGGCTTTGGGGCTTTGGGGTTTTAGGGTTTTAGGGTTTAGGGTTTAGGGTTTAGGGTTCTTGAGGGTTTTAGGGTTTAGGGTCGAGGCACTGGTCGGATGTGAGTGTGTCGACAGAGTCGTTCTCGACGTCGCTGGTCGGATCCTCCTGCGCTTTCCTTGGGCGTCGGTAGAAATTCACTGGCTGTTAGGGTTTAGGGAAATGGGGGTATACCCCAAGGGTCCAAAGGACCCAATAATTAGGTACTCGGTTTTAGGATAGTAGCTATGTAGGTTCGGGTTTTGGTGAGTATATGATTATTTGGTACTTGGACCCTTGGGATAGTGCTAAGGGTGTACGATTGGAGTTGTAGGTGTTTTGGGACTTGTCCTTTTCGGGTGTGGGAGTTACGGCGGTTGGAGCGTAGGGAATGATATGAGAGTTTAGGGATCTACCAAAGGGCTCCTATTGGGTCTTAGGATGAAGGATGTAGGGGCTGGAAGCCTTCCAGAAAGATCCTGGGACTCATACTCTGATTTTTTTGGCGTGAAGGCTTTATAAGGGCTTAGAGTTCGGGCTTATGGTCTATAGGATCTGGGTTTCGTGGTTGGTCGGAAGCGAATCAAGGTTCAACTGACGGCAGTACTATAAAAACGGCTTTTGCAAGGGTTGTACCATGGCCATCCGCTTGCGTCTTCAAATCGGGCTGTCTTTCCACCAGCTCTCCAGTAGAAGCTGTATACTCGCGCACAAAACCGAATAATACCCTCAAGACACGTCTATGCACCGCAAAGTTCCCAACTGTGAGACCCATGAAGTGTGCTCGTGCGATGGTTTGCACGCCTCGAACATAAACGGTCAATGCCTCTGCTGCCGTCGCGACTGCTTGTATCAAAAGGCCAATATAGAAGCTTAACATGCGCAAGTCTCGTAGGCAGGAGGCACTGCACGTCGCATTTACTTCGTGACATCCGCACATTGTTGTACCGCTCCTACAGAAGAGAAAAACTCACTGCAGTCTCTGGGAAGCAGCACTATAAGCCCTAAACCCTCAAAACTGAAGTCCTAAATCCTAAAACCTTAAATCGTAAACCCTTAGCCCAACACCTCTAAACCATGACACCCAAAATGCCCCAAATCCCAAAACCCTAAACGATGCTTGTCCAAGCCGCTGCTGCAGTCTTGCAGTGAAGGAAGCCCACTTGCTGGTATATCCTGCGGTTTCGAATTCAGTGTTTAGAGTTTTATTTTTTCTGTTTTTTGTTTGAAGGGGGGAGGGGCTTGGAGTTAGGATTAGGGGTACAGGGCTTAGGCTTAGGAGTTTGGGGTTTAGGGGTTTTGGGGTTTAGGGTTTAGGGACTCCTAAACCCCTAAACTGAGGAACGTAGGGAATGCTTCGTCTTGCGCATGCCCCCTGTTACTGGCTTTTCTGTGCTCCTGCTCGGTCAATCATAATGCAGCGTCTCAAAACCCTGCAGCAGATTCTTGGAGAGAGCTGAATTGGTGACTAGCTTCTCCATACTGTGCAGAGTCAGCTAGCATCTAAACCCGCATCTAAACCCAAACCCAACCCCATCCTCAACTTTCCCAGAGGCTCCATGTGCCTTTTTGGTAGATACTTAAGCCTTCAAGGGGTCCCTATATAGGTACTTTAAGGTATAAGTATATACTATATGGGTACATGGAGCCTTTGGGTTTCCTCCGGCCCTTGGCTCGGGAGCCCTCTTTTTCCAGAAGCGTATGTAATATAGGGGTCTTAATAGTTAGGAGAAGGTTTTGGGGCTCACTATTTGTAATTATAGTACGGAGCCCCCCAAAATAGTGCAGGTAATTATTACGGCCTCTATATTAGCTAGACAGGCTTGTCCAACCTGGGAGAAATCTTGAAACCGGATCACAGTCGGCTTACCTTGGTTAGTAAGGCATGGAAAGAATGGTAGTAATAGTAGTTATAATTGTACCCGATTCCTCCGTTCCCTACAAACCAAAAGTAAGTCGGCCAAGCAACCTAGCAACAGTGACCCAAAAGCGACCAGCCAGCCTCGGATTTAACGAAGTCTAAATGCCACTGACACCACATACCAACCCCAAAACACCGAGACAAAGGCAAGCAGCATGCTCCCTGAAACATCAAGCCTGGCACCCAAGCCTCAAATCCACAACTTGTTCCCGAAATCCGAGACCCCATGTTAGCAAACCAACTTTAGAGGCCTGTATGAATAAGCATGAGCCCTTGACGGGGTATCTTATACCCAGGGGCTCCGTAGTAGTTCCTTTTTGGGATTACCTTACAGGGTTCTAAGTATGAGCCCCCGAAAAGGGAACTACTCTGGAGCCTCTAGGTAGACCCTACACATAGTAGATCTAGAAAGTAGATCCCCTAATTTAGGGCCCTATACTACTAAGGGTACTTTATATTAAGGGATCTACTTTTTGGATCCTCCCGGGGGTCTGGGTCACAGTCGGCAAAGCAACCCAATTAGGATAGGGATACCCCATATAAAACCCCTTATAATGAAGCCCAATCAGGTGGAGATATCCCCATAAAAGGCTTATGTTTGTGTGCTTTTTGGATCCCCAATAATAGTATAGACCCTAAACATAGTGACTCAGGGCTCCACCTCCCTCCACACTTGGAGTCGATCCACTAGCTGAAGGAGCCGAGCCTGACGCGCAGTCTTAAGCCGAGCCACTCCCCCAGACTTTTGCTAAGGGATGTTCGGGGTTTAGGTTTCAGGGTGTAGGGTATAGGGTTTAGGGTTTATAAGGGGTTTAGGGGTTTGATGAATGCGTACTTAAAGGATCATGGGACTTAGTAAGTAGGGTTATAAGTAAGGTAACTACAGCTATAATTATTTGCTTATAACCCCAATTAAGGTGCCTAAAACCCTACTTACTAAGTCCCATGAACCTCCAAGTAGACCCTAAACCCTAAACCCTTATATTACCCCTATAGATCCCTTAAAGCGATCCTTAACCCTTACTTACTAAGTCCCATGAACCTCCAAGTAGGGCTTCAGTGGTTCGGCTTCTCGGCTTCCGGGTTGCGGCATATGCAAAGCTTGGGGGAGCTTGGAGTTCGGATTTAGGGTTTAGGGTTTAGGGTTTAGGGCTTAGGGTTTAGGGTTTAGGGTTTAGGGCTTAGGGTTTAGGGTTTAGGGTTTAGGGCTTAGGGTTTAGGGTTTAGGGCTTAGGGTTTAGGGTTTAGGGTTTAGGGCTCCAAGCTCGAACCAGAAATGGCAAAAGTCATGTGCAATGAGCCGGAGCCACTGCGTTTTCGTTTCTCTGAGTCTGGGTCTCCCACCCTAAACCTGAACTTTCTAGACCCTAGCCATCTGCGCTGTCTCAACCTCAGTCCCTTAATTAAGGAATATTCCTTAAATCATATTAGGGATCCTACTATAATTTAAGGTATATTCCTTAATTAAGGGATCATGGAGTCTCTGGGTAGGTATTGGTTCGCAAGTCGTGCAGACGCCGCACGCATGCAGTAGCAAGCTCCAGACGATGTGACGCAGTCCATTACTTTCGGTAATGGCAACTTCGCTTCCCATTTTCCTGCGAAACAGGCATTTTGGCTAACCGCAAACATTGCCACAAGCATCATATACTATAATAACTTATATAACTATACCATAATACACTATAGTGTACTATATCTTACTATACCCAAACATCGAAGCCCTTCCCACCCTGCTCCCTTGCCCTTGCCTCCTCTCCCCCTTCGTTCTCCTGCCCTCCTCCGTGCCTAGCCTCTGAACGTGTGAGACGCTGCACTTCCCAAATGATGTGTTAGAGTTTGAGACATCTTCACACTTCTATACAAACTTTCGCCTCGAGACCTAAAAACCCCAAGTAGGTCTTGGGGTTGTACAGGTAATGCCTGCAAGCACAAAGACAATCAGGCCCCATGGTTGCAACCGTAACTTCGAGAACCAGCATAAAGGGGCCTCAACAAAAATCGACAAGGGTTGTTGGGTACAAGTTCTTCAGACCCCGATCTTCAACATTCCCCCCCCCCCCCCCGAATGGCCATGCCTGACATGAGATCGGCATCAAATCCACCGTTCTCTGAGAGCGCTTGATCATTCCACGAGTTCTGCTCCAGCTCCTGGCAGTTTTTTGTCTTCCCCTGATGGGAGCTCAGCACGTAGGGTTTAGCGTTTATGTGGCCTGTTTCGGGTTTTTACAGTCTCTTTAGACTTCTTAAGCCTCATGAAGAGCCCTAAATCCAATGCACTTCACTCTAAACCCTGACGTAATATGAAGCCCCTAATGATTCAGGGTATATTCCTTAATTAAGAGGTATTGGGCTCTCTGGGAACCACACATGAACCTTAATGATAACTTAGATCAACCTTGGACAGAGACGCAGCAGTTCAGTTCCCTTTCTCTTGGTCTCTGGATCCTTCGAGCCTTTGAAACCGGCATCAGGGTTTACTTAGGGTTTAAGGGTTAGGGTTTAGGGGTTTAGGGTTTAGGGGTTTAGGGTTCAGGGTTTAATACCAATCCCCGATGTCCAGACGCAGAGTTCATGCAGGGTTTCGGCAGTGCATCCACGGCCACGGGAGGACTTGCAAAAACTTAACACTCGGAACTCCATCGCGCTGGGGAGTAGCAGGGACCATGATGGTGAATGGTGACGGGGCCTTGTCGCTGTTAAGATGCTGTTGATGCTGATGTTGTGGAGGCTGGTGTTTGTGACGATGCCAGTGTTGACTGCAGCACCTACCGATGATGGTGCCCACACGGATGAGGGTCGCAACAGTCAAAATTTCTGAGATGGTAACCATAAAGGTATTCCTGCCCAATGATGACGACTACGTGACAACGACGAGGATGATGAGGAGGAAAGGAAGAAGATGATGATGTTGATGATAATGATGATGTTGGCGGTGATGATGATGACTAATGAAGAACCGAACAGAAAATGCAGTAATGATGAACAACGTTGCCCTTTATCAAGATGGTGTTGCCGGGCCGATTGCGGAATCGATAGTTGCAATGAACAAGATGGTGATAGTGACAGTGCTGGTGACTGGTGAACGATGACTGTGACGCTAATCAGGTCATGATGATGAAAATGATGTTGAAGATGAGAAGACTTCCACAATGACGATGGCACTGGCATTGCGATGGCGATGGCCGACGGGGAAGTGGCTGCTAACTGCTACAGTAACCCTAAACCCAAAAGACCCTAAACACCCTAAACCCACAACCCCTAAACCTTAAGCTGCACCTCCTTGCGGCCGGTGTTTGCCAGGCTTATCTGGCTCAGATCGGCCTCAAAAGCAACAAATCCATGGCGCCCAGGCTTCAGGCTTAGGGGCGTTGGTGTTTTTGGTTGCACCTTTTCCCGGGTTTATCCCGGACACTTCGATTCTGCATCGATCCCTTTCCCGTTTTCTCCGGGTTTAAGGTGTAGGCCGCCGAAACCGTCTTCCTCCATAAAGCCCTGCAGCTCAAGTCCCAACAAGGCACTCTAACAGCCCGAAAGCCGAAGCCCTTACAGCAAACCCTATAAAGATGGAAACCGGATTAAGGCCAAGTAGTGCTGGGATTCCTTATACATTACTCTTAAGGATTGAGGCTATGGGGTTTCCAACTTTTGGCCTTCTACTGTCACCCAGAAACACAAACCCGGAAACCACAGTTGCAGGTGTCGATGATGCCTGGTACTGCTGCAGCAGGGCTTCCTTGAGGTTCCGCAGCTGCAAATCCAAAACGTCCTGGTTTCGGAATACGACTTAGTTGCTGAGTTCATAAGCCCCGAAAAAGTAAACACTTTCAGCTTTAGTGGGTAATATTATCCCAAGAAGTGTAAAGTGTATCTACTCAGCTACTAAGACAAAGTTAGGGCTTCGGAAAGTTTAGGGCTTCGGGTTTATGGTTTGGGGCAAACCCCGAAAAGCCGAATCTGTTTTTGACTCAACATGCGAGCTTCCCTAGGATACCCAGTAACCTAAGAAAAAAAGGCCTCTCTTTTTGGTATTGGGTAACTTTATAAGGAACCTAGGACAAAAAAAGGAATAAGGGTACTACTGGGCATCCTAGTTCCCTCGGGTTAAGTCTGGGTACGGCTCGTCGGGTTGCTTCTCTGTGGGTTCGGCATTGGGCCCGAATTTTCCGATACTTCCAGCTCCCGTCCTCAGTATGATGGAAGTCCTTTGGGGGGTGAAGTTGAAGACCCTATATCTCAGGTCTATATCCGTGATACCATACTTCTGTTGAAAACTCCAAGCGTTCGTTGGCAGGCAACCCTTCTCCGAAACCCTCAGCCGGTTAGACACCCAACCTCAAGCCGCAAAAACTAACAAACCCTAAACCCTAAACCCTAAACCCCTAAAACCAAAAACCCTAAACCCCTAAACTCTAAACCCCTAAACCCCTGCCTGGGCCTCAGGAGCACCCTGAAACCCTCAAAAAATCAACTTTAGGACTCCGAGGTCGCCCCGAATTAGACCTGCAGCTTAGGGTGTTAGGGTTTAGGGTTTAGGGTTTTAGGGTTTTAGGGTTTTAGGGTTTAGGGTTTAGGGCTTTAGGGTTTTAGGGTTTTCGGGTTCTAGGGTTTTAGGGCTTTAGGGTTTTGGGGTTTTAGGGTTTTAGGGTTTTAGGGTTTAGGGACCGAAGAGGACCAAAGCAAGATGAGGGCGCTCTATTAGCAACATCCTGTGACCGTAGACCCCTCCGACTCGAAATCGCCGAACACTCAGACCTTGGCAGCCTTTAGCTTAAAAACCATAAACCTTCATGCAAGGGCTGAAGTCTATATCGGCAATGTACAAGGACAAGTGGAGCCATTGCTCAGAAAGAGAGCCTTAAGCCCTACCTGTTGCCGAAAAGACCTACCTTTTTTAGGGTTCCTTGTTATGGTTTCTGTATATAGTTCCTAAAAAAGGTAGGTCTTTTCGGCTACAGGTAAGCCCCAAACAGAGCCCTGAAAGCCTTGATATTTGAACCCCGGGCTCCTCGTAGCTGCGCTGCAGACTCGCCGTGTCTTTCGCCATGGGGAGTGGGTAAGTTGTACCCTGAGCCACACCCCCAAGCTCCAAAAGAAGGGATCCTGTAGACGCTTTAGAAAAGCACCGAAGGCAATTTTCCTCGCCGATCTTCGGGGTTGCTAGTATAGAAGCCTGAATGCTTCGACATGCTATAGTCGCTCTAAAAGGAGTGAATGGTAACGCAGCTATGTTGTTCAAAGTCTTGGGTCTACCTTGGGTACCGACCCCCGTACAGTAACAGTCTATAATGGGCCTACTATTAAGGTCCTAAGATCTCTATATTATGAATATTATCCAACTGTTACTGAGTGGGGGTTCACCCGGCACACGTACGATGCACGGGCGGACACGGACAAGCGCGCCAAGAGCCGGACTCCGAAAGCTGAGGATAGGGGCATGCATTATAGGGCTTAGGGATTAGGGTTTAAGGTTTAGGGATTAGGGGTTTTGGCTTCAGAGACTCTAGAGATTAGGGTTTAGGGATTAGAGATTAGGGTTTAGGGTGCATGCATTCTGGAGGTTTTATGGCAATCTTAGCACTGGAAACAAGGCTTTGGGGCATGAGGACGATTTGGGCTTCTGGGCAGCATGCATCACCAAGAACCTAACGAATCCAAGAATACGGTGGTTTTTGTTTCAAGGATGCTCTGCAATTCTCGACGGGACGCGCATTGTCGGTTGAGCCGCTCTTTCGGCAGGTGGTCGCTCACACGCTGGCTCCCTCTCTCCCTCTCTCTCTCTCTTTCCTTCCGCTAAGTAGCAAGCTAGGTGCCGTTCGTTGAAATTGAGTACTGTGTATCCGCGTAATGCTCCAACACCACCCTGCCCAGCAAATACGCACAGTGCAAGCCTTCAAAATAAGCACTTCAGGCTATTTTACTACACCTAGACGAATATCACCAAGTCTCACAGACCTCATGCGAACCACGTCTGTAAAGCCAAACCCTGCAACGACCAAAGCCGAGGAAGCCACGAAGAAATAACTATCCTTCTGGTCGGATTCAATTTGTTGCTGTCCCTAGGGGTTCAGTTACCTAAGCAATTGGCTACGAGCCATGTAACAGATGTACATATACATGCATAACTAACCTAGAAATCCACTGCTCAGGTAACTGGAGTAGTAGGGTAAGTCTTGGATGCTTACAGCGCTTCAGCTGACTGCACTTCTCTCGGAGGTTCATGGCTTCACAGCTTGCGCCCTTTCGCTTGTTGTGTTAATGTTCTATCAGTATGAATGTTGTTATTATTTGGCTATTGTTATTGTTATTGTTGCTGTGGCTACTAGTATTTCCATTGTGATTGGCACAAATATATACACATCTACCTACCAATCTTCCCATTAGCTTGAAGTCGTAGTTAAGTATGTACTACGCGGCCGAATGCTTATGGCTTTGTTCAAGAAGGTCATCAAAAAAAAACATCAAACAAGGACTCTAAACCCTAAACCCCTAAACCTTAAACCCCTAAACCCCTAAACCCTAAACCCCAAAACCCAAAAAACAAACCCAAAACAACCAAAAAAAAGGAGGACAAGAGGAGTCCGAACTCGTCCTCGTCACGCAGCCATCTAGCCGGGCCACTGCCTCTCAAGCCCAGGGGAGGATTATGGGACTTAGTAGGGTTCCTGAAAGGGCTCCTTTAGGGTTTAGGGTTTAGGGATCTATTAGGGAAAGTAGATCCCCTGATTTTGGGCCCTATACTACCAAGGGTACTTGATAGGAACCCCCATTAAGGGATCTGCTTTTGGGATCCTCCCCGGGGGTCTGGGAAGTCAAGCTGTTCCTTCGGGGTTTCAGTTTGAAGAATCTGGTGAGGACCGATGCCAGCATCGGTTTGATGCTTACTTGAACCACGCGAAATCTACCTTTCTGGAGTTCCCTTTTCTGAGTTCCTAGAAATGTCGGTCCAGGCAAGCTTCAGGGCCTACAGGGTGGTTTCCGAAAATAGGGGACCCCCAATACAAAGTACCCCTACTTAGTAGGATCCTTCTTATATGGACCCCAGAATAAGGTACCCCTATTTTCGGAAACTCCATAAACCCTTA